AAAAGACTGATGAAACAACAACAAAAAACCCCTACAAGCTCAAAAAGATTCTTGGGCTAGTCTGATAAAAGCTGCAAGAGATAAGGATATAGCTGCATTTCGGAAATTTGTATCTAGAGGATGTCCATACTGCTTAAACAGCATTAACAATCATATTTCTGCCCCTTGCTAGGAAGAGTTTTTGAAATTGTATGATCAATCTCAGGCTAGTTGTCATCTTTACATCCCTAATGAAAATTTACCATATTGGCCCCCTGTTACAGCTCAGGAAACCAAACATTTGATCTCCAGATTAAAAACAGGAAAAGCTCCTGGCAATGACAATATACCTGCTGAGGTATTCAAATCTAATATTGACTGGTGGGCTCCTGTTTTAGCCATTTTATTTTCAACCATTGATTAAACAACATCTATCCCTAATGGCTGGGGATTGGAGATTATTGTCCCAATTTACAGGAAGGATGATACATCTGAACTGGGGAATTATAGGCCCATCAGCTTGTTAAACATCATAAGTGAGCTATATGCGCTACATTTGTTGGGCAAATAACAAGACTGACTGGCTGAAGAAGAGATTATTAAGGATGAACAAGATGGCTTCAGGAGTAATCATTCTGCTATTGATCATGTTTTGGTTCTCCACCATCTAGCTGAAAAATACTCATCTTCAGATAAGGGAGTGTTATATACCACTTTTGTAGACTTTAAATCTGCTTTTGATCTTGTTCCAAGAAATAAACTTTGGGAGAAGTTTGAGTCTGCTAACATTGATAGATGCCTGCTGTCTTTAATCTGTAAACTTCATGAGAACTCCTGTATAGCTGTACGTTGTAATAGACTGAGTAGTATAACAAGATCTATCCTGACTTACAATGGAGTAAGAGAAGGCTGTGTATTAGTGCCAACTCTTTTCAATTTCTATATCAATTCAGTAATTGCATCTTTGTCAGATATATAATCTCATCATCCATCGATTTCAAACAGACCCTTATCAATATTATTATATGCTGATGATGTTGTCCTTTTGTCTCTTACTAGAGTAGGGCTAAATAGACTTTTGAAAGCCCTTGCTATCCTTTGTGTGAAAGACTCACTGAAGATAAACTATGATAAGACTAAAATAATGATATTTACAAAGAGGCGAATCCACCACAAATGGAAAATCGATAATAACTGCATCAAACAGGTACCATCTTATAAATATCTTGGAATATTTTTTCATGCAAGGAATTTTGCTAATTTACATCAAAGCAATGTGATATCAAATGTACAAAGAAGTATTAAGGCACTTTGCATTTTCTTTTACAACAAGGGCGGACAATTGTTTGAAGCCAAAATTCTCGCACAGTTTTTGTATGGTTCAGAGATCCATTCATTTAGCAATTTTGCATTGTTTGAAGCCATTCAAACCAAGTTCCTGAGATCGATTCTTGGAGTTTCTAATTGTGTAACAAATGCTATACTTCATCTGGAAACCAGTTTGCTATCAGTGGAGGCCCATATCTGGATTTGTAAATTTAACATATGGCTTAAAATGATTTTCAACCCAGTGGGCTTGGTACCATTAATTCTAACGGATTCTTTTTCATCAATCTGGAAAAAATCTTTAAATGTGAAAAATGCCACCATTATTATGCCACCATTATTATAACTGTTAGGTTATAATAAATCAAAAACAAATCAAAGATATAGATATACAAAACCACAAAAGCCAATTAACCTTATATCCCATAATTTGGGAAACAAACAGAATATCCCTCCATGCATGGTACTTTGATAATTTGAACATCCCTAAATTTAGGCGGGTATTTATGCTCGCGAGATTGAAAATTCTTCCATCAGCCATCATTGAAGGAAGATACCCTATCATTGTCATTTCTGCCCTTGTGGATTGGAGGAAGTTGAGTCAATTGCACATGTTTTCTTCCATTGCTCCCTTTATTTAGAAATTCATACTACATATATTTTTCCACTTCTTCAAAGTGTGCCTGGTAGAGAGGAAAAATATATGTAAATTACCTCCTTTCTGATTGTAAGGAACTGGTTACCATGAATGTTGCTAAATTCCTTGCTGCCACAATGATTTCTCAGAAGAATTTTCTGAAACAGATCACTAAATTATGAGAATTGTAAAGTAGGAGAATGTTGGGGGTACGGCTGTAGTATAGACCTGGTTAGTGTCTATCTGTTTTATCTAATGGTGTCTTTTTTTGCTGAAATGGTTATATTCTATATGTGTTACTACTTTTCTTGCTATGAATTATAAAATATTTATTAATATATCCTAAATACTATCACCTTAGTGTGACAGGTGGGTGTTCAGAGAATAGTAAAGTAGGGGAGTGTTAGGGGGTATGGCCGTAGTTTAGGCTGGGTTAGTGTCTATCTATTTTATTTAACTGCACCTCTTTTTACTGTGAATATTTTTTTTACCCTATACATATTATCACCTCTTTATACCATACTGTCAGGAATAATCGGACCTGTTATTTATAGCCCTTATAATATATAATGGGCTAAAGGTAGTTTATAACATGTAGTATACAGTATAGAGAATCATCTGATAACTAGTTACAACACTGACAAATATTCTAAAATGTTAACGTTATTCTGTAAGCAAATGCCTTCCTGAAGTAGTCTAAGGGCCCCGGCAGACGGCTAATAGAGCCGTCCTCGAGGCAAGGAAGAGGAGGGGCAGCTGCACGCTCGGCGCCCCTTCCTCCTCCCAAGGTTGCCCTCGGAGCCGCCAGCCCTCCGCACAGCCGGCGCTCCGGGGGCAACCTCCCACCGCAGCATCCAGACACGCTGTGGCAGAAAAGTCAGTGAAAGGAGCGCTATTTTAGCACTCCTTTCAGGGACGGGGAAGAAGCGCCGCAGGATCGAGGCATGGGGATGCCTCAGTCCTGTGGCACACCTTCCCAGGGCAGCCCTGTGCCACCAGTCTGCTTCCCCCCAAAGTCTGGAAAGCAAGGTAATGCCAAACTAATACATTCTCTATAGAGGGCAATCTATTGTTTTATCCTCACCTGGTTTTATAATTGGTCTAAATGATGGATTGCTAGTTTCCATCTTAAATAGAAATCTGAAATCCATCCAAAGAAAATTCCACCTAAGTTGCCCTTGCTGAGCTTGGACTCAACGTCTCACAACTAGTCTAGTTGAGGAGAAAGAGTGTGATGTGCTATTTTAACTAATTAAGGTTTTCTTACTATTAGGATAGATTGGAATCTATTTTCTTAATTTGATTGTATAATAGATCAAAATTATTGATTTATATAATAGATTTTATTTAATATATCTTTGAATTCATGATATTGTACAATATTTGCAATTAATCTATTGGAAATTTTATATGAACATCATTGTGACCAGATAACTATAT